TCTCATATGAGGTGTCCGTGTGTGTTCTCTTATGAGGTGTGTGTGTGTGTGCGTGTGTACTTGTGGGCTTGTGTGTAAATGATTGTTGGGTGGTAAAGAAGCAAAGAGAAAAAAAAAAAAAAAAAAAAAAAAAAAAAAAAAAAAAAAAAAAAAAAAGAATGACGAAGAAATGCGTTAACAGATACAAAAAGAAAAAGAAAATAAGTGGAGAAACAAACAAACAAAACAGCTGTGACACCGTTCACCTTCACCCGTGCAGACACCCGAGCTGTGCTTTACATTTTATTTACAAATGCCAGTTAATTTACTTCCATTATTACCATTTAAATCATCACCACTAAACCCCAGCTGCAGGGCCACCGTCACCAAAAGCCAAACTTTAAATAGTTCCTTGCTTTCCTTTCATAGTTAGTCCAATTCATACCCACACATTAATATATACATATATATACATATATACATACATATACATATATATATATATATATACACACATATATATATATATATATATATACACATACACACACACATACATACATACACACATATATACATACATATATACACACACACACACATACATACACATACATACATACACATACATACATACACATACATACATACACATACATATATACACACACACATACAATACACACACATACATTCCTACATACACACACATATATACATACCTACATACAACACAAATATACATACATACATACACACACAAATATACATACATACACACATATACACACACATACATACATATACACACATACACATACATATACCCACACATACATACATATACATATATATACATAGATAAAGAAAGAAAGAAAGAAAAAATAAATAAATAAAGAACTCATTGTTGAAGTGAACCTGGCCCATCCGTGGACCTGACCTGGCCCACGGGTCATATGTTGAACAGCCCTGCTTTAAACCAAGCTGTTGTTCCTTTTAATAAAGCCATGGAGTGATGTCTCGTTCCCTGAACAGCTGACCATTAACATAAAGTTTATCTACAGCAACTGTAGCCCTGGCGCCCTCAGACATGAATTTTTTCCTGATTGGAAATAAAACTCGCCTCCGATCGAGTATTTCTTTAGGAAACTGATCATTAACGCTGAAATCTTTTCCACGCAGCTCTCTGCCCTGACTTCTCACCTGCTCTTTCTGTTTATAATGCTCAAATTTAGCTATAATTGGGCGAGGTCGTTTGTTATCGGGCCTCTTACCTCCGAGCCGGTGAACACGATGGAAAGTGAACTTTTTTACGGTCTCACTTGGGAGTTTCAGCTCACGTTGGATAAACTCACGGATCGTCGCTTCTGCGTCCTCCTCTCCTCGTTCAGGGATCCCAGAGAAGACAAGATTATCCCGCATACTCCGAGCTTGAAGGTCCAGGATGGACTCTTTCATTTTTCTGTTTTCTCCGGATATCTGCGTCATCCTCTCTGTGAGATCTTTAACGTCTCCCCTCAGAGATTGGTTTTCTGCAGCTAGCGACGCCACCTGAGCTTGGCTGAACTCCAGAGATTCCCTCAACGCTTGAAATTCTTTGTGGAGAGCTTCAACGAGAGCCAGTCGGGCATCTAAACTTGATAACTTTTTGTCGATGGACTCCAGAACATCTGTGAAGCTTTTCTCAGGAGACGTGGACGCGCCGCTTGAGCTCTCCGAACGCGTGCGCTTGGATGTTGGAGTAGCGGTGGGCGCGGTGTTCTGAGGTTTACCCATCACTATATTCTCAAAGCACGCGTCCAGGTAGCTCTCAAGACTGTCCACCGTCTCCTCGTCCAGTTTGTTTTATTGAAACAAAAAAAGCACAGGTTAGTAATAACAAAAAAAATATGAAAAATATTAATGTATTCGAATGTTTTACCTGAGTTTAATTTATTTTAATTTAATTTGTTTGGTTTACCTGAATTTTGTCATTTACTTACGCTGCACAGCTCCTACGTGATCTCAGCCGCTCATCACCAGGTGACACCAATCCTCACCTATGTTCACTCTTCAAATGAGTTTGTTTCTTTTAGTAGATGTCAGGCCTTTCACATGCAACGGTAGCGTTTCTGGCTGCAGCTGTCCAGTTCTGGATAACCTTCGCTTCGGATGTTATCGGTCCATTAAATGGTCGTTATTAGTTGTTATCATCCCCATACGTAGTGGGCAGACTGCCCCTTCTCTACCTCCTAGTAGGTTTAAAGGTACGTTATTATCGCCGATAATACGGTTACGTGGTTAGACTCAAGGGTCTGGGGGTTAAGTTTAGGGTCAGGTGTAAGGTTAGATTTAGGAAAAGGATTAAATGAAGTTAACTAAAATACACTTCTGGTTTTACACATGAGCCACGATGCATTTTATCACCCATAAAAACATAACTTTAAACTGACGCTACCTATGGGGATGATAACAACTAATAACGTCCAATTAATGGACTGATCACATCTGGAGCCGCTGACCTCTTTTGGTTGGACCTTCTGGGCTGCAGCACAGATTTAACTTACAGGGTGACTAAGCAGAAAACCCATCTAAAAACGGTGTTTCTGGCTCAGAGACACGATTAAACTCTTTTTTTTATTTTAAAAAACAATATGCACTTTTTTTAATCCAGACTAGTTATAAAGCATACCTGATTTAGACTCCAAAAACAAATGAGACTTTGGGAATCTGTTGTTCAAAAAAAAAAAAACATTTTTATTGGAGAAAACATCTTTAACCTTTCGACCCACTGGACACACAACATGACGTAGCAAAAACAGCTATAGAGAACATCTCCTCTGAAGCTCCATCACAGACTCAAAAGCACCGCAACGTCTGCGGTGAGGGACACGTTTATAAAATTAACAATCGTAAAAATATACATATGTGACGAGGATAGTTTACAAAGTGTGATTTGTAACAGCCTGCATGAACAGAAACACAAAGTCGAGACGATGCGGCGACCCGCAACCTCTTAACTGATAGGCACAACCACAACGTGACAGGCAGACTGCAGCGAGCGAGTCAGCTGGTACAAGCGGACACACGTCCCTCCACCATCCATCAACACGGGCAGTCATTTAGAGGAAACAGCTGATCACAGCAGTGAGAAATACAAACATGAGAAACAGAACAATATGAACTAACGCGAGTCGTTGGATCAAACCTGCAACTTTATGCAAAAAAAAACAAACATGTATTTCATACCTGCCTTTAGGGGAAAAAGCTGCATTAGTTAGTGTTTAAGCTGTAATGTGTAATCAATAATCTATAAAAAATATGTGTATATACATACAGTTTTCCAGATTGAAGGTGGAATAAATCATGAAAACAAACAAAAAATAAAAACACTGATAAGCACCAATAACGCCACCTAACTAAAACAAGTTGCCACTTGAACTCTCCTGCGGCTGGTAAGTCTGTGTGGTTTTCTTCCGTTTTCACAATTTGTCTCAACATTCAGATTAAAACAAACTGATAAGAGACGACTGTAGTCCTCCCAGAGAGGTACAAGCTACTGCAGGTTGTAATCTGACCTCAACAGGGACGTCTTGTGAAGTAAAGCATGCTAGCTGTGGAGAGATAAACCCCATCACCAGCTGCACCCATCTCTCCAGACTCATCGCTCTCCCCTCTGCTTTAAACACGTTCCTTCCTCTCCCTTTGTTTTCTTTACCTCTGTCCTGCGTTCACTCTCCGTCCTCTTCATCAGTGCAGCTTCTACATCCAATGAACAGATTTATAAATGTCTACGGCGCCTGGCTGAAGCGTTTTGGCAGCTCGCTCTCTGAACTGTGAACCTGCGAGCTCGTCCCGCACTTCTTAAGTTCAAGCTCTTCAGCAGCAGCTGAGGAATTCCCTGCGAGGGTGTTACAGCAAATAGTATCTCATCATCTGAGGCGTCTCTGCAAATATCCTGCTTCTGCAGGACGAAGCACGGGAAACACATATCAGATCTCTGTCGGACCCTGTGTCTTGTCTACGTTTCTTGGGTGAGGCAAAAGTAAAGCGAGAAGAACCGCTGTACAAAATGTACAGGAAGTATTTTTGTTGCTGACGACCTAAAACGTCTCATCCACGCGTCTTCTAAAACTGCTACAACAGTCTATCCAAACGGGACGTCACTCAGAAAGGAGAAACTTCTTGAATTTCCAAATATTCACAAGACGGACATAAATATAGCAAAAATCAATGAATTGCACACTTGGCTGCTACGTCACCAAAAGGTGCCGTCTCTCCCACTGCTAACCGTATCTGGATTCACTCATACATTCACAAGTTAAACAGGGGGTGGGGGGTGCTACCGTTTTGTGACAGAGTGGGGGTCACGAGGCCTGTCCACTGTTTTCTTTGCACGTCAGAAGGCAGGAGGCACTTTAATGAACTCTCACAGGCTCACGTGTTCAAACATCACAACAGCTTTATGTTCGGTTTAGGTTTTTTTTTCTTGCGATCAAAGTTGAGTTTTACTGTAAGAACAAGAAAATCTTTGGTCTGTAAACAATCAAGAGTGCAAGGCGGAGAAGCCAAGTTGTTACCCAAATTAGTTTAATGGCAACTCGCCTCAGTTCAGCTGATGTCAGGCGGAGTGCAGGGTGCTTGTTCAGGAGCTTTGCACATCCACAGCAGCTGTCAGCTCGAGGACTCTCATGGTTCGCCTAATTAGTTCAGGACAGAGTCGGTCCGTCTGGATGACAGTTCTGCTGCTCACATTCGAGGCCGACACAAATGAGTGTTTTCCAAACCCCGCTGGTCCGAATAGGGTGACGTTTTAAAAAAATAATAAAAATAAGAAAGTGTCATGCTCACAATAAAACTTGCCCTTAAAGTTAAGGTTCTGGATCATTCATACTCAATGTATGAACTAAAACAGAAGCTTTGATGCAAAACAATCGACAGAGGATTTCTTTTTCTGCAGCCGCAGCAGAGCTGAGGGCCGGACTTTAGTGCCCACTCCTGTTTGAAGAAATCTCGCCCTTCCTCCTGTCTTGGAGGGTGACTCAGTTGCACGGCAGCCATGTGGAGTACGTGGGCTGTTGGCAGGCGAACACCGGCTGTACCTGTGCTATGTAGTAGTTACTGAAGTTGCCATCGGCCACATAAGGAGCAGGCTGGTAGTAGCACGTAACGTTGGCCACGTTGGGGATGATGTTCTGCTCAGCCAGGACGCGCACGGCCAGCATGGCTATGAGCCCTAAGGTCTGCCGCCTTTCATGTCCCATCAGGCACACAGTGCTCTCGTTGACCACTCCGTGGAGGGTCATCAGGTAGTCGTACTTGCGGTCCTCCAGGCCAACAAAGTGGTTTTGAAGGTAGGACTCCAGCTTGCGCTGCTGCTCACCGATGTCGGGGAAGTCGATGAAGAAGCGCGAGCACATGTAGCGCTGCAGGGACTTCATCTCAGACTCCGACGCTGGCCGGAAGCCCCTCACCAGCAGGTGACAGTACTTCAGCAGGCCCCCACCTCGAATCTCCTCCGGGTTCCTGGTGCAGATGATCTTGTGTCGTAGGTGGTCCAGAGCCTGGCTGAAGTCCCCGTACACGCTCTCGCCCACGATGGTGGGGTGGAAGGTCTCCGCCATGGGGTTCTCCGAGCATTCGTAGAACAGCAGCAGGGAGTCCAGCCTGATCTGGAAGGAGTCCACGCTGAACTCGAACTGACGCCGGAGGGAATCCACAAACTTCAGCTCCACGTTCTTCCCTCGGTTGTTGGAGAGGGAGATGAGACTCCAGCGGTCCGAGTCGTTGCACACCTTCACCATCTTCTGCACGTAGGCTTCCTGTGAGTGGGTTTGATCAAAGAAGCAGAAAAGGAAGGGAAACAACGTCAGCCATGTGTGCAATAAGACCTTTAATTTAGTGTTTAAATAAAGTTTGCATGACACTAATAGCCTATTAGAGGCGAGATCCCAAATAAGTTTGCTTGTGTAATCCTCTTAACCATATTAAGGAGTAAAACACTTGCACTGTGGTCTAACTCATCTAATGAATAAACTGTTGGCACACATGAAACTAAAGCTCAAATCTAAAGAAGTGAAGCAGAAGCAGTGATGGAGGTACCTTCAGCGTCAGCGGGGTTATCTTCTCTTTATTCACACAGTCGGGTAGAAAATCCAGGAGGCAGTCCAACACGATGTCCTTCACAGTCTGGAACTCGCTTTCCCCCTTCATGTCCGCGCAGAAGATCAGGTCCAGGTCCTTGAAGCCCAGGCCGCTGTCCTCGTGCAGGATGTGGCTGGCAGCAGAGCCGTTTAACCGGACGTCCCGGACGTGGATCAGTTTCTCCTCCATCCGAGTCCGCACCGCCTTGACGATCTGCCGCGGCTGCATTTCCAGCGTGGGGAAGTTCCCGCGGCCGTGGATCGGGATGGTCTCCGTCAGGATGGAGTCCAGCCGCTGCACTTGCTCCCAGCTGAGGACGCTGCTGCAGTCTGCGTCAGGCGCGCAGCCGGGGATGGCGCCGCGGTCCTTCTCTGACATGTTGGCGCAAAAGTCCTCGGAGGTTTAAAGGAAGAAAAACGTGAAGCGTTCTCGTTTGATAGAATCTTTATGCGTCTTTACGCACGAAGTTTGGATACAAAGGTGGCGGCAACTTCATCTGGATCAGGACTCTGGGGATTTGAAATGGTCCGACGTGAGAGCAAACATCTAAAACTATTTTTAAATAATTAAATAAAGGCTCAACGCTGGTTGTAAGTGTTGCTGCAGTGCGTTTCCTCGTGCGCAGTACGCGCTCCAGCAGGTCAGAGGAGTCACCGAGGAGGCGGTTAACAGAAACTAGAGCTCCAACTTTTCCTCTTTTCTCTCCACGCGCCTTCAAAGCCTTCTCCACGCAGCATCCGTCAGTGCGTCTGAGCGTCGCTCATCAGTCTGAGAAGCTCCGGGGTGATCCAGGAGGGGGGGGGGGGGGGGGGTTCTTTTCCGGCTGTGACTCCATCGCCCAAAGACACGCCTATGATTTCAGAATTTGCATGAATAAGCTGCTGCTCAGATTGGCACGCTCCTCCATCTGAAAGTCAGCCCTGCGGATGATTTATTGTGGATATTTTTTACGCACAGCTTTTATCCATTCGATTCCTTCACTCCTAAGAAATAATCTCTTTAATACAACTCTGCGTGTGCTCGTAAAGCCTCGGCCTGTTTAGCTGAGCAACACGCACACGTACGTCTCCCCCCACCTGTGGAAAAGTTAACCTTTTACCGGTCCCGTTGGATCGCTGCGCCCTGCAAGTGCTGGTCCGCAGTCTGAGGAGGTCAGCTGGGTTCCAGCAGCCCTGTCTCATATCAGACTGCTGCTCAGTGTTTACACTGCTCAACATAATCACACCTACACACACCAACTCCAAAGACCCCACTCTCTCACCCTGCCAGGATATATTTTTCATTTGTCGTCATAAAATATGATGTTTCATTTTTGAATTTGCTACATTAATGGGTCTAAGTAAATGTACAAAGCAACACACTTTACTACATGAAGACATTTATAATCCAAAGACTATACAATGCACAAAAATACATTAAAAAAACTCAACTATAGATATTAGAGGCTTTTCAGATGCATGCAGGACTCTAATGGTTCTGCTCTGCTACGACACTTTGTCTCACGTTACTATGTCGCCCCCTGTAGGCGAGTTCTGGTACTGGCACACTGCTGGGTCTCCAGGAAGATGATGGGGAGGAAAAACTGTTTATTTTAAAATTCAGACTGTTTTCAAAACTCTAAATAGCCTTATTTTGTTGTGTATAATTTGCACCATGTCAGAGTTGGTCTAATTGGCACAAAGTGAGGCAGAACTTAAAGATCACAGCTTTGATTTAGAGGCATTCTCCCCACATGACATGGCAGAATTACACTTTATCCCACTTTAAATTTTAAAAAGGGCCTCATAATAATTGGCCACTGCAATTAAAGGTGAGTGTTGATTTATTTTGTTTTTCCTTCAATGCCTGCCTATATTGGATAAGGCATAGTCTTCAACAAAGGACGCTGCTAACCCCATTCATTCATCCTTTGATTTTTATTGATTAAGTTGATGCAGATTGTTAAAGATTGCTGAACAGGATATTGACCAAGATTAAGATGTTGAATAGGTTGATAACGTTGAAGAAAACAAAAGTAGTTGATCACACCAAATGAACTGTTCAAGTTACCAAATAATCTGCACTCTGTAAACCCAGTTTAAATAATTTAAGTATAAGCAAACTAAAATTAACTCATTCATCATTGATGATGTCTATTATATAATTCTTCTTTACCTAATTTATACCTTAACAAAATAATCAAAGTTCATGCTCAATAGACCAGCTAAGAAATCCAACAAGGTTCAGTCAGGTCCTCTGGACAGTTTCTTTGTTGTTGAGATGTTTCATCTTTCATCCAAAGGACTTCATCAGTCCGAGGAGCCACAAACAAACTCAGTCCCACAAGCAGCACATAGTGGACCAACCAGTTTGATGGTGATAAGATGGTTTCTGGGACCCGCCCTCTCCCCCATCGACTCCTCTCAGGCAGCCATAGCCAAAGTGGTTCAAGACATCAAAGTTCATGCTCTTGTTCATGTTAAAATAAATTTACCTTCAAGGAGGGCAATAAGCTAACAAACATACTGATGGTGTCTCTGTTGATAGTTTGGCACTGAAGCAGAGTAACAAGCGCTTCTTTAGTTTAACTCTGACTTGTAAAACCTGGAACAAGGAAGGCCTGTCCAGGTGGTTACGTCAGGTGTTCAAGCCTCACGCCCACTCAGGCACAAACATTGCTCTCTAGTGTTAAAACATTACTATGAAAAGATGAAGAAAACCACTTCTGACTCAGAGAGTGATCATTGTGATGACGGTCTGTCTCATCTGCTGGTCTGTTGGCAAAGTATCTTGTAAACCACTGGTCAGATTTTAATAAAACTCCCAGAAAGTAATATTTGAATTTACAATTATAACTAATTCAAACCAGTGTCTAGTACGAGCCAGTGTATCTCTTGTGCTGGCCCCAAGCCCAGGCAAATGGTGAACACTGTGTTAGGAAGGGCATATGATATAAAACACTTTTGCCAAACTATAATGAGAGTTCATCAAAGTGAAATCATACCAGATGGGTCGAGGCCCAGGTTAACGACGACCACCACCGGTGCTGTTGACAAACAGAGTGCTGGCGGAAATTGTGCTCTGTTAGTCGAAGACCACGAGGAGGGAAACGTGTCAGGAGACAGAGGGAGAAGAGGACAGTGAAGGATGTAGGACTGAGGGTTGCAACTCTAAATGTGGGGACAATGACAGGTAAAGGTAGAGAGCTGGCATGATGCAGAGAAGGAAGGTAGATGTTCTGCGTGTCCAAGAAACCAAGTGGAAGGGCAGCAACACTCACAAGAAGAAGATTTATAACTACCTAAAAAAATTTAATCTGGTCCTCTGGACATTCAAAAAAAACAAACAAAGCAAATCAACAAAAAAATGTAGAAACGTTTCGTCTCTCATCCAAGAGACTTCCTCAGTCTGAGGTGCTGTATTCAGCTCAGTCTCTTAAATAGCACCTTCTCAGAGTGGATCAACCAGTTTTGCTGCTGACAACCAAAACCAGCTGATCACATGCTCAAGAAGGACCATCAGCCTAACAATGGATCATTAGCACACTGATGGCTGTTTACTACTCACAGAGGGCTGAGTGATACTAGCAATCACAGCATTGTAAGAGGGGGACAGTTGAACCCGGAGGCCTCCACCCCTGTTTAATGATGGATGATTTCTTTTCACAAAGATGGCCTCCTTTACTCCTCTCTCAAACCATCGCTCCTCTCTGTCCAGGATGTGAACGTCTTCATCCCTGAAAGAGTGACCGCTGGCCTGGAGATGAGTGTAGACCGCAGAGTCCTGGCCTGATGATGTTGATCTTCTGTGCTGGGCCATCCTTTTGGCCAGTGGCTGTTTTGTTTCCCCGATGTAAGACTGATCACAGCCCTCCTGACACTGAACAGCATACACAACATTACTCTGTTTGTGCCGGGGGACTGGATCTTTGGGATGAACCAGTCTTTGCCGTAATGTATTTTGGGGTTTAAAAGCCACTGGGACATTATGTTTAGAAAATAAACGTCTCAGTTTCTCTGATACTCCCTCAACATATGGAATGACCACTGGTCTGGGTCTGGGTTCCTCCTTTTCACCTGTTGGCTGACTGGTGGAGGCCTCCGGGTTCAACTGTCCCCCTCTTACAATGCTGTGATTGCTAGTATCACTCAGCCCTCTGTGAACAGTAAACAGCCATCAGTGTGCTAATGATCCATTGTTAGGCTGATGGTCCTTCTTGAGCATGTGATCAGCTGGTTTTGGTTGTCAGCAGCAAACTGGTTGATCCACTCTGAGAAGGTGCTATTTAAGAGACTGAGCTGAATACAGCACCTCAGACTGAGGAAGTCTCTCGGACGAGAGACGAAACGTTTCTACATTTTTTTGTTGATTTGCTTTGTTTGGTTTTTTTGAATGTCCAGAGGACCAGATTTAATTTTTTTAGATTTTTCTACCTGGATTATTGAGCATGCATCAGGATATTTATAACTAGCGTAATTGAGTTTTTGATTCAACCCAATTCAAGCTGACTTACATAAGTAATAGAAAAAAGGCTTTAAGTCTTTAAATTTAACATTTATTGAGCTAAATTCTGTTGTGGCCATAGCTGTGACTCATTTCCAACACATACTTTGAGCACAAACATCACATAAGCATTTTTGTTTGCAACTTTGACACGCAAGCCTATTCAGAATTTCACAATAAAAGTTTTCAGACAAATCTTGTCTCAGATGGCCTGTTCAAAGGTCAGGGGTCAGATACAAGTGGGGGGCCAAGGACCCAGAAAGCTCAGCACAAAGAGCGCTCACAGTGCTCGTTATAAACCCTGGTTTTCCTGTTTTCCTGTCCAGCAGCATCTCCAGTCCCACACTGAACACACTCCTCCTGCAGGACAGGACACACACCATTAATGACTCTGTTTACACTAACACAACACGGATTTTTATGTGAACACAAGCGCCAAAAGGTTTTTCAAACAAAGAGCGATGAGACTAAAACAGACTGTTATAGTTTTGAAGTACTTACCCTCCGTTACCTGTAACTTTGCTTTGGTTTTTGGGTTTTGCTTTGGCATGTGTCAGACAGGTCAAAAACACGTCTCTGAAACCGAATCCCACATCTGGAAATGTACGTGGAACTATTCGTCATTTACAATATATCCAGCGCAGCCTGTTCAATGTGTTTCCCAGGTGTGGAGACATAGTTGCTAAGGATCGGACCCAACCCCACAGCCGTGCACGACACAAAGCCAAATAAACTCGACTGTCGGAGACAAACAGCAGATACAGGGTCCTACTGATGACATGCTTTGTGCTAATACAACTTGGCACCTCATTATTCATTGTAAAACGAGGGATTAATGCCTTGCAGATTACTGAAACACAGGAATGAGATGATGTTGTCTGAAAATGAAGATTTTT